CTGTTCCAGAATCTGTCGGAGGGTTAAGATATGGTCGATGCAACCCCTTGCAGGACGGAACCCAGCTTGGTTTTCACGGATCTGTTTCTCCCTGTGTTCAGTCAACCTTCGAAGGATAAGACCAGAGAGCACCTTCGATGCCATAGCTAACAGGCTGATGCCACGGTGGTTTTCGCATAGCGTCCGTGTACCCTTTTTGAAGATAGGGATCACTGTCGACATGCCCCATTCTGCAGGCACTTACTCTTCGTCCCACATAGTACCAATAAGTTTTGTCAAGTGGGTCACCATGGAATTTCCGCCTTCTTTGAAGAGGGTTGGATACAGACCGTCCGGTCCTGGTGCCTTCTCACGCTTCAGTACGGCTATTTGTACCCTATTTCTTCTTCTGAAGGGCGATCAAGGCTTACCTTCCATGCGCCCGTATGCATTACTTCCACTGGCTGTGTTGCAGGAGGCCAGCTGAACTGCTCTTCGAAGTGTTCGGCCCATCTCTCCAGTCGACGTTGTTGCGAGTGAATTAATGAGCCATCATTTTCATCTGTCGTTTTGCTGACCGTTGCTTTCCCAGGGCCAGTCTATCGTATAAGTTGATAAAGGGCGCGGCTCGTTCCCGTAGCAAAAGCCTTCTCCATCTCCCGAGCTTTCGATGTCTACCCGAGCTCTCGGTCTTTCCTTAGACTCTTCACTATTTGGCGTTTGAGGGATTTGCGTGCGCCGTCATACTCGTTGCCTGCCGGTATGGCTTTCCTGGCATCAATCATGGATAACGACCTCGACGACATCGAGTGGTCTTGTGGTCGAATTGGAGAAGTTGGGCAGGCAGCACTGAACGCCGCTAGCATAGCTCCTTTCACATTTTGCCACGCTTCATCCACATGTTCACTGCCACCACAGTATTGTTTTACTGTGGAGAGTTGTTGGGCTAGCTCAGATCGGTACTGTTGAGCTATGGCAGTTCTTCGAAGATAGTGGATTGGCACGTTTCTTGCCGACATGCGAGGGCCTGAAGGGAAACGAACTGTCAGGCGTGCGCGCACCATGGCGTGATCGGAATCAAGTGGTGTGCCCCAGAAGGAACGGCAGTCTTGAATTGTGGCTCTCCACCGGTGGCTGATGGCCACGTGGTCCAACTGGGTCCACGGTTGATTTGTAGTTGGCGGCCGCCAGGTTAGCGTGCGCGCACCATGGCGTGATCGCAATCAAGTGGTGTGCCCCAGAAGGAACGGCAGTCTTGAATTGTGGCTCTCCACCGGTGGCTGATGGCCACGTTTGATAGCGACAAAACCTTTCATTGCACTTGGAGCGCCAAAATAATTGATACTCTGATTCCCAAGCCCAACGAATGTTTTGGTTTTGCGGTACTAGGTGAGTAATCCTGCACTAAAATGTAGCTGACAATTTAACTGACCAACTAAGGTAGCATCCACTAAATAGCCAGTTAAAATTTTGAAGTTTGGGGATACTTTTCCATCCAAGATTTTTATATATAAATCGATAAATAAGCCCCACAAAGGTCTAACAGATGCACTGCTCAAAAACAAAAATGTAGAAACGCTGCTAATGTTTCTACTAATGTACGCACACAACGCGATTTTGCATGGGTATTTAGTATTTCGGAGTTTTATTAATGCATCATCAAAAAGACATGTGGAATCCAGCTGAACATCAGGTAAGTATAAATATCGATTAAATACGTGTGGTCTGTTGGTGTGTAGTCGTGCATCTCCGTTTCTATGTACGATAGAATGTTGTGTGACATCGTTATTTCCTTCAGACTTGACCATGACGGACCTCTATAAACACAGGATTCTACTTTCAGCTAAGAATCGGAGGTTTAGATTGCCAGCTCCTCGTAGTCGGTTGTAGCGTAAGAATGAAAAACCTACTGAACACAACTCTAACTATGTTTAGGGTGATTTTGATCGACCTTATTTTGATGCTAACCAAATAAATACAGGGGCCCCGCTGACCATCGCTTTGTTCATTCCCTCAGAAATAAGTCCAACTGATGTAGAAACCTCTAAACACAGGGCTGATAACGTTCCAAATAATTGCAAAATTAACCTACTAGCCAAGTTTACTGGTTAAAGAATATCTTTGTGGTCATATTAGACAGCTCCGTAGTCTCAGCCTATAAAGCTGCGATGTAACGTCGTCCTAACTCTTCGTGAACATTATGTTCTACATTGTACAAGTTTTGTTTAGGTGTGCATGGCTTAGATTTAATTTTAAATGGACCAAAAATTATCAGAAATACGGTCTTTGTAGGACTCACCTTCAGAACGGAACAACTTAATTTCCGAAAGCATCAAAAGTGTGAAGAATTGAGTTACCGCTACTTTTAATCCAGAGAAATAAACCTATGAGTAGCGGGGCTCAGTACTTGCCCCGCCTGAAAAATGCTTTACGGGAACAGGCCAGATAGGCTGCAAAAAGACAGAGTGTACCCTTCTGGGACAAAAATCAACTAAAAAAGAAATGGAAACAAAAGCAGTCAATCTTCAATCGCAGCGTTATCGATTAGCTTAAATCTTTTGGCCACTGGTTACCAGGTTGATGCCAATTTGCTCTCTAACTATTAATCAAAACTCACAATTCTGCTGTTTGCCGAGGCAGTAGCGGTTAAGACTAAAAAAGTTTCTTAGCTATTACAATAAATAGAGGTAAGTTGGGGTGTTGTACACAATTACACAAGATTTTTGCAACTAACTCTCACCAATGATTGACAGAACACAGCTCTGTTGTAGGTAGAACGTAAAATCACTTTTCCGGCTACCGGTAATTTATTACTTACGGGTCAAAAACTTGTGCACACACAAGTCCTTCCTGTTTTATTCAAGTTATTAGTGAGGTATAGTTTTTCTGACATTTCAATAGTTAGTTTTGTTTTCTAGGTAGTGTTCGGCGGAAACCCAAGATCATAAGGAGGGGAAACTCCGGACAAAAACTCCAATCCTTATCGTCACCTCGGGCTATACACGCATCAAACTCTGAAGCCAGATTCGGAAATTGTCGGAGCAAATCATTATGAAATCACTCCCTGTGAGAACTTCTCATTTCAGTAGAACCTTTTTGTAACACCAGAGCTTAGACTGAACTTTTGCTTCGAAATATTCATGAAATTTTCGGTATTGGATTTCACAAAAAATACACTTTTTCTTATTACCTACTTGTCTGCAATGAGAAGCATCCATTTTCATTTTAGGACTAATGGGTTTTGACCATAGGAAAATCAAAATTTATTTACAGTTAAGGGTACATTTTTGTGTTTTTCAACATACAGAAGTAAATTATGGGAGCTTCTATATTTTTTAAGGATACCCTCATTACAAATGTACGGAATGGAAGTATTTTACATCATTAGGTGACACAATAATTTAGATGCATAGGAATACCTCTCGAGAAACCTGCCACAAAATCAATAAAAGTTGGAGAACCATCAGAGCGAAATTGTGGAATCATCCATCCAATTGGACAGATCCTCAATGATGACGTTATACTCATAATCCGTGCAAGTCTCTTGGTGGTCACTGCGGTTAGGTTCTGGATGTCCTTTTGACAAGAGTTTCTCTTTCCTCGTTTTCGAGCAGCTACCTATTCCATTTTGGAGTCTTAGGCCGTAGAACCATTCAGCGCCGAACGTGTTGGCATACTCCGAAGTCGCGCGACTAAGTTTGTATTAAACTCAATTTCGGTCCACAAAACGATTTACGCTGTGGAATAATCACCAGCCGGTGCTGAGCTAAAAAATGTTTTGTCTGATTGGAATAGCCCGGCCTTATGTCTGCCCATGAAAGTTCAATGCAACAGTCGTCTCTGTACCAAGCTTGCATCAGAGTCCAAATGATCGCTTTGGCTACTGTGTTTTCTGAACCAGTCGGTAGCTGGTCCTATTCCAAGAACAGCTGTCGTGGATCTAGTGCGCCGAATTTCTTGCGAGTGTCCAAGACCCTATGCAGTCAACTGTCACAAATAATGCTTTTGCCACAAGAATGCGAATTGACGGACAATTTAGCAGAACAATGGCGCTATCTACACTGGTGGTGTAATTAAATTGGCTAGTTTGCACTCACACGCACAACTTGATTTTTCAACCGATAGAGATCCAATTTAAAGGTATTCAAACTAAATAAGTGGGTGTTGTAAAAAGAAAATGACAAAATGTCCAGAATACCATACTCATGCTCAGTCGGAGAGCAGTTGAGCAAGCAACGAAGGCAATGGAGCAACGGCAGAGTAACGGCATCAAGGCACAGAAGTGTGTTTGTTGCGCCCTTCTCCACCTTTTTGCATAATTAAGGCTTGCAAACCTAAGTATCATTTTATCAACTTTTTATGTGCTGCGAATCAACCGGTGATGCCATCTCCATTTATTTGTTGGTTGCAAAGTTGTGGTCAAGAACCTGAATTTTGTCGTATACGTAGCATGGCCATGCATACGTGTGCTGTTTGCGATTAAGGCACACAAATTCCAGGATATATCCGAGTCATTTGGAACTTGTAACAAATTTCGGTCTCAAAATGAATTCCAAATTTTTTATGGGTTGCTATAGGTCACTATGACGGAACGATCCATCCTTTCACCGAAACTAAACCCTGTAAAGAAAAAGCTGAGCATCTGAAATTAAAAAGCGATATTTGTGCTTACTTGAACCGAATTGACAATTTTGAGGATTTCTGCTGAAATCAGCCAACCAGAGAGCCATACATACATAAGGTAAAATAACTGGGCCTAATTTTCTCTACGGTTTTTGATCAAACATGACTGTTTTGTTGAGACAGTTGAGATTACGGAGAACGTTACTCATTCTTGGCAATAATATGTGCAGACTCGGAGCGATTATACAGCATTGGTGTAGAGCATCTCTAAAAATTTCGGTCGTCAAAGGTCGTTATTAAGGAACTGACGATGATCTGTCGTGAAAAAAGATGGAAAAATACTTTATCCCAATCGTGCCCAAAAAATTGAAAACGACGTAACTTCACATCTGCCAAAATGACGATAAAGAAACTTCTATACAACAAAGTAAAAATTTATTCACAAACAAAATGGATTTCGTGCGATATCGAATACCTGTGGAACTTTGGAAGTTATTTGCAAACTGAATACTTAACTAATTAGGTTCATCCTAGGCGTGCACGCCAAAGGAAATCAATTAAATCTAGTTAGATTCCACATATTACTAATTTTTAACTGAATAATTGCAAGGCAAAGAAATTTTTATGGCATTCTAAGTGGTAAAACAGTTGAGCTGTTTGCTCTTAATAAAATGATAATCTTGAATTTGAAGCCACTAAATTCATACAAAGCAAGATTACGTCCGATACATTTCAGCGTGACTATGAAATGACGAAAATTATTTGGGTGAACCCAGTATTTTTTTCATACTTAGCCGCCGTACAAACACGGTTGAACGGAAATCTTTCGTATGAAAAAACACAATGAAAGCCGATATGGAGGGGAAATAGTGCGAGCCTGACACAATTCTTCCGAATTGTCCACCTCTCCGGGCACTCATTCAGGCAACCTGGATTGAAATCGGCAACACAACCACCATAGGCTTCGATTAGAAGCCATATCTTGCTGCGTCTACAGCCAGCTGCATTGAGGATAATGCGGTCCCTATCCTGGGAGGCGAGTTGATTTGGTAGAATCCAGAGTTATCGTAATCACTTCTAAATCACTCCGCCAGGTCAATGGTTAGCCACCACTTTGCTTCCATTAATAATATTTAGGCACGGAAAACAGCACGCTCCCCGGTAGGTGATAGTTCGACAGAAGCCATACATAGCTTAACAAACGCAGGCTCCTATACTGAGTGCATTTCTAAATGAAAATCCCATTGGGCAACCGAAAACGCGTTCCCTAATAACCTCGTTACGTATACGCCAACATCATCCCACACAAGCTGTAGTTCATAGACAAAGACTGTCGTAGACCTGAATGCATCTCGGACCCCCTGTTTGAACAGACCAAGTCTCTGAGCCATACAATTAGGCTGCCCTTACTGCAGCCTAATACACACGCGCCTTGAGATTTAGGGATATGCTGCAATTGCACAAGGGGTACCTCAGTTTGGCAAACGCGACGCAATCCTATGATTTTTTTGTCATATCAACATCAGAAAGAATATGACTTACAAGATACGTAAAACGTCCCACGATTTCAAGTGTCGCCCCCTGGATTGTAAGTGGCATGCTCAGTGACTGTATGCCCACGAGAATGACCCAACACTTTGTGGATGCAAAGTGCATCCCAAGACGGGATAACTGTGGTCAACATATCCAAAAACATTTGTGTCTTCCAATCCTTTTCGAAGGAGAGAACGATGTTGTTTGCATATTCCAGATTGACAAGGTTTTCGTCACAGGATATGTGAAAGATGCGGTTTTGGAAACCTTCCAGCGTTCGTCTCATTATCCTATTACTCGCGAATTTAAAAAGAAAAGAAGGAAGTGAGTGTCCATGACAGACGCGATTTTGTGTATGGAGGTCATTGGTAAGCCTTCCATATGCACATACACCCAGAACTCCGACAATAACAAGAATTTATTATACCCAGAAACGTCTTGCCTTTTCTTTTGAGAAAGCATGTCAGGGAAAACAGACTAGTCAAATGAGTCGAAAGTGCTTTGGAAATCCAGGGATACTAATATTGTGTCACTTTTACCTACAAATTTCTGCCAGTACCTGAGAGAGTCTGGAGATTTTGTAGTAACAAATCGCACCAGATCGGAATCCTGCTTGATTTTATCGAGTCAGCCACGTATCCATTTCTAAGTAAAGTCTTAATATTTACGTCCATTTGCTAGATATTTGGCTCAAGCTGTACTGACAAACTTAATTATCAATTACGCTATTGTTAAAGGGGTTTACTGGGCGTATTGACTGATAGCGTCTTATGAGCTGGTGATACAATTTCATAGAACAATATGCACTGGGATGCACCAAACAGGTGAGGGCATGAGGAAAAATATATATAATCTAAGTATACTTTATCTTTTATTTCAAGCATTTTACCAAATTCTATGTCTCCTGAAGATTCATCAGGTCCATTGAGTCAGGCATACAAAGAGGTTTCATATCTTCAGATAAGGTATTCACCTTTATCTGACACCGGGAAAATAAAGGCTGTATATTCCAAGCTAGCTAAGAAACACAGACCATTTGTACACAACTTCTAAGAAAATATGCCATACCCTTTCAGTGACAATTTTTTTATATCAGTCATCATTAATAGGGCCTGTGTCATGTTATATTGTCAAAATGCGGCGTTTGTGAATCAGTTTTTGGCGAATGACTAGTAAAGATCCGATAAAACAATGGCCTTTCGCAAGTTTCCAATGTATAAATGAAGCGAGAGAAGAGACTTCATCTTCAAACAACTCTCTAAGCTCCATTTTACAAAGGAAGATCGTTTTGGGTTAAATATTCAAACTACCAGCCGAGATGTCATAGTTTCCAGACTCCCTGGAAATTAGTAGGGTGACCAGTGCTGATAATTTAAAATAAAAATGAAGCCGTCATACAGTGCTTTCCATGGCAGCAGCCCAGACTTGGTTCACTTTCGGTATGAAATCTGCAATAAGGTTCCGGATCAACCTAGACAGTAATTTTTTAGTTTGACCTTCTACAAATAACTGTAGCTAAACATCTCTTTCGGTTCAACAAAACTTCCACGGTCATTCTCAGTGAATGAAAATGAACCAAACGGACAAGTGACAGTAAAAATGGAGGGTTCATTTCGCCACAAAAACTAGCGTAGATCTTCAATAATCACAGTGGTTGGTAGTACATCTGGAAGCGCTACTTTGATAACTTTAGGACATAATAAACGCAGGCAATTGATGAGAATCTAACGGTCCCTGTTTTTAACGTCAGTGGTCGAGAGTGGTAACAAACTAAGATAAATTTCAGTTTGGCATTAAAACACTCAGTCAGGTAATATGCCGATAATTGCAGAGGGTTAGTGGATCCACAAAGGTTTACAAAATTTCAGTTATGTTGAAAACGCCTAGAAGATACATCATAGACTTGTTCAGTTGTACGACGTACGTGCTAACGCCATTGTAAATTTGGCATTTTAAATATAACAGCCTGAATTTGTAGAGTGCAGATATATATATTTGGATTGGCCTCATAATACTAATGATGAATGCAAATTAGACACATTTCTGACACGTTCTCTTCATCACAAAAACTCTGATGATCTCCAAACTAAAAATTGTCAGCCCATTTCTCGGTCAATTTGTACAACTTTCCCGTTGTTCGTCAAAAAATCTGTGCAGCATACGTGAATTTCTCCCTTAGCAATTCATGGGTAAGTGTTTGCAAACGGCTTGTTGGCTAACTTTATTATCCAGGGCCAATGATTTCATACTTTGCCGACGTACTTGTTCTCTTCGAGAGTTTCTGAATATTGGGTGAAAATTACGGAAACAGCAAGATTTTTGCAAAAGGTTTCTACTATCAACAGCCAAAAGTGCTCCATCTACACGAATAAAGGTGAGTCCCCTGGATTCTGTTTGTGGAGATAGCTGTTTTCATACACAGGACACAGGTTTTGAGAGCTGTTGTCAGCCAGTGATATGCAGCCGCGAAAATACCCCATGAGTCGGCTAACGTTCAGTGCGTTATTTTGTGTGGATTAAAGATCCTAAACTATTGAGATGTTTCCACCTAATTTCAAAGGTGACGCTTTCACTCGTTGTGGCAAAAGTACAACGAAAAATAGGGACCCTGACCGGTCAGTCCTTAGGTTGTGTCAAACGTTTTTCTCCTTTGAATTTTTTATCTACTTGTACGTCCCATTTTATTGTGGTTTTATTCCTCTACATCAAAGGGAAACATACTACCTGCTGATTGAACGATAGAGATTCACAGAACGTGCATAAACGTAATTCTGACAATTACGTGTAGAACCATCCACTTAGGCCCACGCTCAGTTTTTTATTCGGAGCAGTGAAATTTTTTTAAAATTTACTTCTGTAATCCGTGGTTTATTGGACTTTAATGCTACCAATACTAGTGTACTCAGACTACATTATATGTCTACTTGCGCGATGGTGCAGTACATGGTGTTGTGTCGGCACTGAAGACGCGATCGCCACCAAAGTACACTCAAAATCGATGGGTCCAACATACTGATCTGAGAGAGAAAAAATAAATGGACCACAACAGTGACTTAAACTGCAAGCCGCAACTAATTGTTCTAATTGTTAACTTCCGCCACACAAACAAACTTTACAGTACAAAGGACCAGTTGATCGCTTAAACAAATTAACTCTTTCGAAGATGAACTTTATTCCCTGGAATCTCTCCGTGAAATAATACATTATCTTGGCTCAATCCTCACTGATGATGAATGGTGTACGTAAAACATTTTTATTTATACGTGTGCTGTTTCGCCCTATCTTAATTGTGATAAATATCAGTTAGGGATGACAATTACCGCGCGAGCTGACTCTTCATCACCCCAAAATACGCCTCTGTTAATCATGTAAACAACAGTGAATACTTGATGAATAATGCATAACTGAACGTTTTACAATGCATGTATTATTGCCGCACGACAAAATGTTGTTTACGCCTCATGCTGTTTGTTAGCGTCTTTGATGGTATCTTAGACTGTCAAACCCGCCTTTGTTTACGTATGGAAATTTCCAAAGTCAGCACGCTAGCAGATAGATGGGAATGAGGCTCAGGAAGATGAAGTGGTTATTCATTCCAACTGACAGGTGTGTAGCATGCTCTGTCCACTTCGTACTGGCGACAAATGCATACAAACATGATGCTCCAGTGACACTGATCATATAACTTTCTCCTAAGCCTGGGCTTGTTCATAGGTGATTTCCGTTAGTTAGCCGCATCAGTGAGCAAGATAGCTTTCACATCATAAAGTCGGGACACAGCGCAAATTAAGCGAGGTTTTGGCAATTGTTTGAGGGGAGGTATGATTTGTGGTAAGTCATTCTTCATGTGGACATTAATTAGAACGCTGTTTTACTCGTGAGCAAAGGAATTTTCCAGGGCTGAGTAAGGAAAGTTGCTGGCCCTACGGAATATAAACGGAGTACATGGTGTAAGTTCCTACCCCATTTGGGACGTATTTTTGTGCATCTCGGGATGCAAACAATACATTAAATATAATGGAAAAACAGAAGTCCATACACAACGAAAAAATAGAGAGAAGCAGGTTACCGCTACAAATATCGCCATCTTGATAACCGCAATTTTGCTTCTCATGTTGCAGCAAAGATAACCTGCAAGTTGCTGCTCATACTCTCCAAAGGTATGATGGAATATCCAAAGTGTGGCATCCTCCCAAAAAATATCCGGTTTACAGAAGGTAATGAAATAAAATTTGAGATGTACCTTTGTATTTGTGGAGACAATAGACATATTCATCTCACCATTAAACGATTGAGTCCAGTTGTCTCAAGTCAGAAATCCACGGTCGATGTATTCGCATTTTGATTACGTAAACGGGCCATATCTACCTTGCGGTTCATGTGTATAAGCACAGCTGGCTGGTTTGCGGTGGGACTCCCGTTATTTTCGGCTAGTTTTGTAGCCGGATTGTGTGATTCTTGATGATGGTTTTAAACGCCCGTTCAATTAAGTCACCGTTTCAATCCGGACGTCTTTTTGCTTTAGTTTTTTATGTATTTCTCATCTGATTCTTTGTTCCACCCAAGTATGATGTTACTAGATTTCTCGTTCAGTTAATACCCGGCCCTAGGGAATTCACGTTGTCCCTTTGTTCTTTCATGTTCTATTATACTAACGT